TAAAAAATTCCCCCAACCCCCCCCCCCAAAAGAAAGAAAATCCAAATATTTGGCATGAATCAGGTTGTTTTCTTAGTGACAATTTAACCTGAGATATAACTGGATTTTTGCCTTACATCCGATATGGCAGATGAGGAGCCCATGACGCAATTTAGATGGAGTGGGCTTTCCATCGAGGGCCTTCGCTCTTATTTTATTCCCACACTGAGGCCCTACTCACTTTGTCAGATTGTCCACAACACATCCAATCCCAGAATACACTGGTGAGAACACTAATATTTTATGAAGATTTTATGGAGCCTTGAAAGAGGGGTCTCATCCCATATTTATAGTCTCTGACCCCATCGGTCATCTTGTCATGAAAGGGCTTCTCTTCTGTCAGTTGCGATTCCTTTCTTTCCTCCCACCCATTTTAAAAGTTCTCATCTCAAGAAATTCAGCTTGCGTATTCCTTTAGGAAAACTGCATGTCCTTTGGGATTGAAGGTCTTGGTTTCTTTTACCACTCCCTCTGATACATGCTTCCTCAACAAACTATGAGTCTCTCAAGGACAGAAACCATACAGGACCTTCAATAGGGACTAGTAGAATAGGTTATCACGGGCTGGGGATTTAGCTCAGCGGCGCCAGTGCCTACCTCATAAGCACAAGGACCCGAGTTTGACCACTGGTATCAAAAAAAAAAAAAAGGCTATCAATAGTCACTGAGTTAATTTTATAAATCTGTATACTACAGAGCCAAAATATATACTTGATAAATGTCCTTGAATAGATAACTGCATCACCACCACTTGGGAGCATGAAATATTAAGTCTGTGACACCAACTAATGTACAGTACCCAAAGCTGGAGGCAATCAAATTAATAAAAGGCATCCTGACACAAGAAAGCCTTGTCACCTTACCCATCGTTAAACTGTGATACCTGAGGGTCCCATGCTAAGGGTGTGGGCCATATGGAAGACAGTTCAGAACACAGAATACAAATTCAAGAGTGGTGTGTAAAGCGTGGGCAGAATTTAATTTCTACAAAGATATTGTTATGGCTTATATGTCCCCCTAAAGCCTCATGTGCTCAAGGTGGGGCTTCTGGGAGGTGTCTGGATCGCAGCTGTGTAATACTGGGTTAGTCCACTGACGGCTCTATAGCTGAGTGCTATATTGGGAGGGGAAGCCTCCTGGGAAGAGATGGGTCGTCGTGGGCATGGCCCGGAACAGTGTATACCCCTTCTCTCCCCCATCATCCTGCTGTTCTTCCTGTCTGCAACACCATGCCCTATGCTTCCTCTACCATGCTGCCTTGGAACCAGTGGGCTACAGTCTGAAACCTCGACAATCGGTGAGTCAAAATAAACCTCTACTCCTTCTATTTATGGGTGTCAGGTATCTTGTCCCAGCAGTGAGAAAGTAACTAAAACATGTATCTTTAAAAAATATCATTATTACCATAAAAGCAAAATCCAGATTGTGTCTATATAAAGCCAAAATATCTGACCTAAGTGGGTTTTCCAGGTAAAATATAGGACACATAATTAAATTTGAGTTTCAGATAAACCATAATTTAAAATTTATTAATTAAAATTTATTTTAACTTTTCAGTGTAAATACTGTGTTAATCAGGTTCTCCAGAGAAATGGAAACTCACTATCTATCTAATGATCAGTCTCTTATCAATCATAATGATCACTCTCTTGTCTATTATCTATCATAATGATCATCTATCTATCATCTATCTATCTCACATAGTCTCACATGTATGGAGGCTGAGAAGTCCCAAGACCAGCAGCCCAAACATCTGAGGGCAAGGAGAATTGATAGCGAAATTTCAGTGTGAGTTTGAAAGCAGAGATCAATGTCCCAGCTCAAAGACTGCTGGTCAGAGAGATACTGAGAGCAAATTCTGTCTTGCTCAACTTTTTATCCTGTTCAGGCCTTCACTGGGTCCAATAAAGCCCACCTACACTTGAGAAGGCAATCTGATTTATTCAGTCTACTGACTCAAATGTTATTCTCACACCCCCTTATGTACACACCAAGAGTAATGCTTAATCAAATATGTAGAATCCTCTTGGTCTGTCAAGTTGACACATAAAATTAACCATTACAAGTATGTCCTGAGAACTGCAGAAGACGTAGTGATATTTTTAAAAGAAAAGCATTATTTACCTCAGTTCAAATGTAACTGGCATATTTTATTTTTATTTGTAAAATCTAGAAGATTCAAATCTTTGGGGGAAAAAATCATTCTTTTACCTATATAGTTGGCTTGTGTATCATCTGGGTAAATTAATCTCCTTTTCTTATAGAAACTGGCTATTGTGTATGGTATTATAAGCCCATTTTATTCTATTCTTACATCTCTTCCTTCATTGCTTGTAAGCGCTCAGTTGAAACAAAAGATTTTTCTTACCACCTCTCCACCCAAAGAACTGACAACAAGAGGTGCTGGGTAATTCAGTTATTGACTTTCAGTATAAGTGGCATTGAAATGGCTAAAAATGTATACTTTGGACACTGAAGATCTCAAAGTGTATAAAAGCTCAAAGGGAAAAAAGTAACTCATCCTGGACATGTTTTCCAATTGAAAGTCACATGGCCCTGGTCACAAAGATCCACGCCAGAAAAGCCAATCTTAAGGAAAATGCTCACAATGTTTTAATAATACACAATGATGTAGGCAAAATGTGTGGCTAAAAGATTTGGGTAAAAGAAACAAAGATAGGGGCCCAGGATTTGGCTCAGCGGTTCTACTGCCTGCCTCGCAAGCGCAAGGACCCGAGTTTGATCCCTGGTACCAAAAAAAAAAAAAAAAAGAAACAAAGCTAGTTTCTTATATGACAAATCAAATCTATAAATGTTGGGATTCAAGTTATAAATATTACCAGATATGGAAGATAAGAAATCAATAAAAATACACAGGAAATTCTACACAAACAAACAAAAGCTGTAATTGTAAAAAGTGACATCAGGCTTGATGCCATTTTTGTGTAGCAAAAAGCCCATTTATTCTCTCTCTCTCCTTCCCTCCTTCTTTCCTCCTGGCCACGAGGCAAGCAGTTTTGCTCCGCTGCTCTCCTCCCATGATGCACTGCCTCAATGCATGACCAAAGCAATGGGACGAGCTGGTCACGGCCCCATGGAAACCTCCTACACTGTGCGACAAAATGAATTTTTCTCTTTATAAGTTAATTTTCTCAGCTTTTTTTTTATAGCGTTGGGAAGCTAACACTTTTAATGAAGTGACAGCTCAGCTACATGAATGATGAGGAACTATAAGGATGGATTTGCCCCACTCCAGTTCTCTTTAAAAAGTTGTTTTTATAAGTAACACATATCCCATCCTAACCTCGAGTCCTTTATTTGCTTGGCAAATCATACTGTATACACATGTGTGTGCTGCTTGTTCACATGTGTGTACACAAGTGTGTGTTCATGTAAGAGAACAAGGGCTCACCTGTGCTATTGATCTTTGCTACATTTGAGAACAAGGGGCCAACGTTCCGTTTTTCAGTCACTGCAGCGGACAGTTGGGTATTAAAGATTCCAGAGTAAATAAACGCCTTCCACGACTCTCTTGTTCAGTCTTGGGGTGGCCAGGAGCCAACTGAACGCTGAAAATGGAAGCAAAGGTTATATGAGGGCCACTGTCTGAGACAAGCCCATTTCCCCAACCGCTTCATCCTTCCCAAAGCTCCATGATGGGCTGATCTTCCCCGCTTTTGTTTTCTCTCACAAGGGGTTGTAAGATAACCCTGCTCCTCTTTTTCAACCCAGCTCCAGCGCCTGAGTGTGGAGGGCCTAGAGAGTCCTGTTTGGTGAGGGTGAGGAAGCAGGCCCAGGTTTCAGAGCCGCGGCCGGAGTCCACGAAGCTCTCGCCCGTGTTTCAGTTTCTTCTTGGAGCTTGCTGTCCCTGTTACTCACAGGGCAGGAGCACAGGCCAATGATTAGGGTCCCAGCTCCTCGGCCCTTACCCATGTGGCCTTCAACAAGTCATTTAACTTCCCGGAGCCTGGGGTCCTCCCCTGGATGAGAGGTGTGAAAGCTACATACTACATTAGTAGTAATTAATGAAGATGGAGTACCTAATTAGCATAGAGACCGCGGCAGAGTTTATCAGGTTGCTAATATTATTATTATAGAGTTGATAGGCTTTTGGAGGGGAACAGGAGGAAGGCAGGGTGCATGGTAACACCAGAACAGAATGCAGGCTTGGGCCATGAGGGCAGTTCAGAGACCAGAGCCATGGAGGGGAGAAGGAGCCTTGCTAGCGTGAGGATAAGGACTAAATCCTCAGGTGCACGTGGGGGTGGGGGCACCGTCTGCTCCTCAGTACCGGTGTCCCCTGGTCGCGGGTTAGAAATGTTGACTTTCCGGTTCCCACCAGGTCCTCCTAAATCAGAATCTGTCACAAGGAGCGCAGAAGTCCTCTGCTGAGAGCTGAGGAAGCCTGCATCCGCACAACCCTCCTTCCGACAAAGGACAGAGATACAGCCTTTAGGCTACCCTGGGGCCTGACTGGGGAAGGGGACAGCAGTCACAGAACCTGGAGGCCGGCGACCTTCACCCAGATACATTTTCCTGGCTCCTGACCAGTCAGGTCATTTATACGGAAAAAGAACCAGATAGACCCTTCAGAATGGCTCTCCCCAAACTCTTTGGCACCAGGGACCAGTTTCCACCGATGGGAGGTGGGGGAGGTGAGGGAGTAGGAGCGGGGGGATGGGATGATTCACAGGAATGAGCACTTCGATCTCTCAAACAAGCAGTTTACAGCTGCTCCTGGGAGACGCTGCTGCAGCAGCTGATCTCACAGGAGGAGGGTCTCAGGCAGTAACGCGGTGATGGGGAGCAGCTGTGAATACAGCGACACTTGGCTGGCTCCCTTCCCTGCCCACTGCTCACCTCCTCCTGGGCGGCCTGGTTCCAGTCTCTGGCCTGAGGGCTGGTGACCCTTGCTTTAGAACAAGGTCTCAGAAAAGCAGCTGAAACACTTTGGAAAACAAATCATCTCTGATACCTTGTCTTTCCTGTACAGGTTATGTTTGCAAAGTGCCTAGTGTCGTACTCGTATGTGCGTGTGCATAATCTTCTGCATGCCAGGAAAAGTGTCTGTTTTCTTTCATAAGCAGAATCAATGTGCCTGCATAAATCGGAAGTATTATTAAGATTTCATCTGAGGATACAAAACCTCTCTCTTAGGGGAAAAAAATAGGGAGTCCATTTCCAAAGATTCGCGGGGAAGATTTTTCTGTGAAAAATAATTGGTCTCTGAATTTATGTCTCCCTTTCTCTTTGCCCTTTCACCACCAAGTTTTCCTTGTGCTGTTATTTTTTAACAGAGAACATAAGTTCCCAGTCAACAAAGTCCATGTTCCACTCTTTCACCGAACACAGCACAAGCTGGAGCATGTCAGCGAGGGGACCCTGAGACCAGGACGGTGGCTGCCGCCCTAAACAAACCAGGCTGGCAACACCAGAGTGTTCTGGTGACACCCTGCCCCGGCCTGTGTTCTTTAGAATGTCTCCCCTTTTCTTACAATTGCACTCCAGAAAAAGAGAGAGAGAGAGAGAGAGAGATAGAAAAAAAGAGAGAGAGAGAGAGAGAGAGAGAGAGAGAGAGAGAGAGAGAGACCTGGAGGGTCCCAGCCCAAGGCGAGCACTGTGTACTGTCAGCACAGACCGATCTGTCAGTGAGTCTCCTGGATCTGACCCTTGGAGTCAGGAATGTTCTTCTGATAAGGAGCAGAGTGGAATGCAGGCAACTCAGTCAGTTACCAGGGACAGCTTTTATCGTGTGGTGGGGCATGGGCAGGCATACAGCTCACACAGCTGCCTGGGAACTCAGAAAACAAAGAAGACACTGAACACAGGGAAAGAATGTGCCCACGGTGCTTTCTCTAAGTGCCTTTAACCTGAAAGTGTAAACAACCACTTCTGTCCCTGCCTCACTACTCCTCCTGAGTATGACCTCCGGGGACACAGCTCACCTAACAGTTTTATTTAGGAAGCTGTGAGGGACTGGCACTTCCAGCCAGACAGCCTCCCTCTGCAGGTCCTGGATTCCTTCTCTTTCTCCCTTCCTCCTCTAGCGACCTTCTTGCTGGCCTGAGGACTCCCATCAAGCACTGGCACGCACACCAGAGAGAACAAGACAGGTGCCACCCAAACACCCAGGTCCCCAGGCTCCTCCCTCAGAAGCCTGACGTGTTTCATAAATGCTTTTCTTGGGTCCTGAACAGTTTTTAATCACTGAGCATTTCCTAATAAAATGTTCAAGTACCCTTGGGAAGAGAATTGAGCCAAACCTTTCTTTTTTTTGTCTCACAGACTCTAAGAATGCCCTCGACTCAAGATCGGAGGAGCCAGGGACAGACTCTGGGTGAAAATGGAAAGATGGGTTGTTCCTCCTACACCACTAAATGGGAGCAAAGCAGTGAGAGAGAACCAAATGCACAGAAGAGAACACACAGGAGTATTCTGTAGGTAGCTTTCCTTTGGCTCTGAGTATTAATTACAGAAATTCTAAACATTCATTTAATCAAAATGTATGAGCAGGAGGGGATGTCTACAAGGTAGGTGAGAGACAAGTGCAGAGTAAGAATTCTAGATCTTGATCTTGATCTTTGTTTTTGAGACAGGGTCTCATATATATAGTTCAGGCTGGTCTTGAACTCACTATGTAGCCCAGGATAGCCTCAAACTTGCAGCAATCCTCCTGCCTCAACCTCACAAGTGCTGGGATTAAGGGCACACCTGGCTCTAGATCTTCACCTTTTATTTTCTTTTTACAAGTTAATTTTTAGTTAAAGAAGTATTACATAGAAACATTCTTCCACTTAAAAACTGTCACTTTTTTTTTTAATTTTATTGAGTTTATTGGTACATTTTAGGGATACAGTACAGTTACATTCATTGTTGGGATCATGTACCTTTACATGGCAAGTCTTGATTCTCATTTTTTCCCCTTACCTCTGCCCTCCCTTCACCCCCTCCTCCCCTAAAACTGTCACTTTTTATAGGGCATTCTGAAGCCACCTTTAATTACCACAGGAGACATGGCCCACGACTGTGAGCAATTTGGAGATTTTTTCCAAACTTTCCTCTGTGTATTTACACTTATACATTGTACACACACTTACTTGTCTGTTCCCACAGAAATTGAAATCTTGATTCAGGCTCCACATTTAAACTATTTAACATGATTTTTTTGCATGATTTTAAAAATAATTTTAAATTGGAAAAGATGAAAGAAATAGAAAAAAAAAAGGTAAGTGCCTCCAATTTCAGATTTCTACTGGGGGCTTTTTCTTTTCTTTGTTTTTTTTTGGTGGTACTTCATTCAGACTCTGTCAGTGTTGGGAATTATGAGTGTGTGCCATGAGGTACTGTTTCAGGCGGATGTTTCTAGAGATGGAAGCCTTGGGTGGCCCAGACTTTGCTGACTGGGTTGAATATCTCCAACACAACCTTGAAAGAAAAAAAAGAGAGTGCTGCCATGGTTGCACTGAAGAAGCAAGACTGAGAAGATGGAAGGCTCCTTTGTCCCTTTAGTTTGAAAGTGAACAACCAGATCCATCCTTTGCTGAAAAGTCTTTGTTCTTTTCATGTGCACTTGTTACCTGACCTGCTTTTCCATTAGAGCTATATAATATTTCCTAAGCAGCTATACTTGTAATCTTATTGGTGGGTCATAGTTTTGACCCACATTGTACCCACCTCATGATTTTGCTCTATAAACTTCCTTTAAAAAGTGGGCTCACTGGCAACCCACTTTCAGGTCCCTTCCTGTCTCTCAGGTGCTTTCTCTTTCAATATATTTTTCCTACTCTTAACTTCGTTGTTCCTTAAAATTCATTCTTCGATTTTGGAGAACACAAACTCCGTGCATCTGAGGATAACATATTACGAGTTACATTATTTCCCCTGTATCATAAGGAAACCACAAAGCACACAGACCTGATCTTCTGTGGTGATTCCTGTCACGCTGAATGCACTTAGGCACTCAAACTACCAGCACTGTTTCGCTGAATTGCAGCTGGACCAGGGCACTGCCCCTTTCCTCTGGTTCCTCAGGTGTCTGGAGATCCTGGCTACCCCCGGCCTGACCCCTGGATAATCCGGCGTGCCCTGTGGAAGCACAGCACTTCCTGTTTCCGGTGAAGTCTTCTGGTTTTTGGACCTGACTGATACCGTAGTAGTTGTAGACTGCAACTCAGACAGCGCCATCCCTCCGGAACCCGGTGCCCCAGCTCGGAGACACTGGGTAGGACAGGCATTACCAAATGTGCAAGAGTAAGGGACTGATTGTGTAGCTCAGTGGCAGAGCATTTGTCTAGCATGTGGGAAGCCTTGGGTTCAATCCCCAATGCAATAAAATAAATGTAAAATAAAATGAAACTAAATGAGACAACACAAAGCACTTGGTAAAGCCATAATCAGCACCCAATAGTAAGATAAATAATAAACATTAGTTATTACCATGATACTCATTATCACCTACATTGGTCAGAAAAAATGCTAGAAATTACGATAAATTTATAATATGTTCTCTTACCTTTCATTTGTTAATTAAATGATAGTTAAGTAAATTATTTGTTGAATGATAAACACATGGATTCCAGAGCTTTCCCTTTTGTAATATGAGACATAAAACAAAACAGGCTGAAGTAGGCTAAAGCAGGCTCTAAAGGAGACTTGTTAAGTTTCTGCAATGGCCTCAGTCTTTGTTCTACAGCTCAGGAGATGTGCTCCACCAGTCCTTCAATGTAATCTAGTTTTTGCAGTACTGGGGATTGAACCCAGGGAATGCTGAACTATTTCCCCAGCCCTTTTAAATTTTCTTTTAAATTTTTAAGACAGAGGCTCACTAACTTGCCCCGGCTGGCCTTGAATTTTCAGTCTCCTGCCTCAGCCTTTCAAGTTAGCTGGGATTATAGGCATGTGCCACCACACCTGGCCTGACACATTTTTATAACCATTCCCCGACTGCTGAATATTTAGGTGGTTTCTTACTTTTGGGTATTAGATGAGTATCTTTGTAAAAGCCCTTTCCTATATTTAAAACAATTTCCTTATGTTAGAGTTGCAGCAGGGAAATGTCAAAGGAGAATGAAGATTTTTAAAGATGCATGAATTTTATTCACCAATTTATCTTCTCACTGGGTACATTTGAACATTCTCATCTTATTGAAAACTGTCTAGCATGCTGGTTAATCTTAGTTGTCAATTTAACTGTATTAAGAGACCTGGATCGAGGGTCCCTGTCCTCATCAGTGGATTAATCCTCTGATCCTCATAGCCAAATGTGCTGCTAGCAGGCATGGCCCTCTGGAGGTGGTTCCCTGGGGCTGTGGCCCTGGGGGCTATTATCTTCCCTGGCACTCTTCCCCTGTGGTCCATTTCCCTGCCTGTACCAGTTGACCAGCTTTTGCTCCACCACACCCTTTCCCTGTGAGGCGGCTGCCTTGAAGCCAGCTGACTATGGACTGAAAGCTCTGGGGAATGGTAAACCAAATCACACCTCTCCTTCCTTAAATTGTGGGTGTCAGGTATTCTGTCCCAGGGACCAAACAAAAGCTGACTAGATATATCTAGTGTCAAATATTATCATTTAAAAATGATTTTTTCAAAGATAAGCATGCCATTGTCTTTTAGCTTGCACTTGCTAGATTAAAAGTGAACTTGAACTTTTATTCTTTCTTGGCTAATTGTATTTCTATGTTTGTGACTTTTCCATTCCTATCCCTAAGGCAGTTTTGCCTATTTGGGACTAACTAGGACAAATATAAACATTAATTATTCAGAGCCTAAAAAAATCGCACCTTTACTTGACTGGTTGCCTGTTAGCTGTTTGTTTTGTTTTGTTTTTCTTTTTTAAATTTCCAGAAGAAAATAGTAAATTGTAGACTAAAATCTAACAATGAGGGTGGAACTCATAGACATAATGCTGAGTCAAAGCCAGACACAGAAGAGCACATACTGTATGATTCCATTCACACCAGCTTCAAGAATAGGCAAAACTGATGTCTGGTGATAGAATTCCAGGGGTGTTCCCAAACAGGGGTAACAGTAAGGGGGCAGGAGAAAGCACTTTGGGAGGCTGAAAATATTCCATGTCTTGGTTGGAATAATGGAAACATTTATATATATATATATAATTCCCTGAATATAAGTGCATTTTTCTATTTTCTCTCTGTGCATGTATCTATGTCTATACAACATATATACATATATGCACACACTTTTTCCCCCATAAACTTACTTTTATTATTTCCACAAGCCATCCTAGTGTCAAAACTCTGAAGCTGGGTGTGATGACACACACCTTTAATCCCAGCACGCTGGGAATCTGATGCAATAGGATCTCCAGTTGGAGGCCATCCTGGGTAATTTTATGATTTAATGAGACTCTGTCTCAAAAAATAAAAGAGGGCTCTGGATGTAGCCCAGTGTGAAGGTCCTGGACTCAATCTCTAGTATCACACACCAAAAAATAATAAAATAAAATAAAAAGTAGTATATTTTATTGCAGTGAGTTTGGTCAATACAGTAAAGTAAGAAGAAACTATCATTGCCTCTCCTAATGTTTATTTTCCCTAACCTAAACAAACGCTCTATTCCAGAATTTGTAACTCAAAATGAGTTTAAGTAAGTAGTTGAATCATTATTACATCATTCAGTGAACAGCATCCGGAATGTGTTTGGCACAAGACAGAAGAGGAAAGGAATGGTGAAGCAATTCAGAAGGCACATGCCTTCCTTCTTGCTACTTCTGGCAACTTCTTGATTCCCACAGTCCCTCTGATCACTTCCGAGACTTCTGAGGATTTGGGACCTCTTTCCTTGAACTATGTCACGGCCAGTCTGTGGTCATGCTCACGACCGCCTGCTCCTTGAGGAGGAAGTTCTGAGGCTTCTGTTGGCCTCCTGCCTTTCCAGCCTCTCTCTCTTTCGTGGCTTTCACAGTGTGGCACTGCAGACCCTGCTGGGGACTTGGAATTGTGCACCGCCTGCTTCAGCAGTTTAAGCCTCTCTGTAAGCCTCCTGTCCCTGGTGCCTTCCTCTGTCCAAGTGCCCTTAAAGCCAAGTCCACTTGCTCCTGAGCAAAGCATAGGATGTCTTGGTAAACTGCACAAGATTTTAAAATCCTGAAATAGAGTTTTGCCAATCCTGAAATCCCACAAGCCTAGGGGAAAGTCTCATGAGGCTGGCAGCAAAAAGCCCATAGAACAGCCTTATGCCATATATGCTCCTGCTAAGAAAAAGTTGACCAAGCCCAGGAAGCTTTGTTTCTCAAAACAGAACACAAAATTTCAGTCTTTCTTTCTTTTTTGTTTAACTAGGGAGCAAACTTAGGACCTTTCACTTGCAAGGCAAGTGGCAGCACCACTGAGCTAACTCAGCCCTCAATTTTTCTAAAACTGTATTGCATACAAGACTAACACTGAGCCACTTACTTCCTTTTCTAGAGTGATTTTTTAAAAATGTAGTGAAAGTAGGAGATTGCAGAGCTGAAATAAAGGTATTTTCTATTTAATTAGATGCTACATTTGCTAACAATTTTAAATTACTTTTTAACAATTCAGAGATGACTTGTCATAAATTTAAGATTAAATAAAAGTTATACAAAGATTTTCTAAAAATTCGGTGTTATAGTGGTTTTTTTTAAAGGCAGTATTGGAAGTTAGAATTTGAGATTTTGCTGGTATTAGATTATATTGTAGCTAAGTGCACCAGATTTTCTACACTTCCAAAGGGTTTAGCTGCAGGGAAAATAATCAAATGGGTTCAGTCTGTAGCACAGTGGGGAGAAAAGCTTTACATAGCCAGGCCCAGTGACATATGCCTGTTATCTGGCTTTTTAGATGACTGAGGCAGGAGGATTGCTTGAACCTAGTCTGAGGCCAACCTTGGCAACATAGTGAAACCCTGTCCCAAAACTTTAAAAAATTTTTTTTACATAAATATTGAAGACAATCAAAGCTGTAAAGCAGCCAATGCTTAATTGTCCAATAAAGTATAAGGATAGTATTTATTAAAGGCTTTCCAAAGAAGGATAATTCACTGTGAGCTAGGAAGGACTAGGGAAAGGCCAGAGGAAACAAGATTTCAACTAGGTCTTAAAAGAGTTTTAATGAAAATGAGAAAAGAGAGATATTTCAAGAAGATATGGGCAAACATGGGAAAGATCAAAGTCATTTCAGAGACAGTGAACAACACAGTTTCAGCAGGGAGAAAAGTCCACTAGGAGTATTGTGGAAGTTAAGATTGACAAGGTATGTTAG